TAGTAACTGGTACATGCTCATCAGTCAGCATTTTATGTTTTCCTTCAGCTCTCCAAAATAAATCAAAGAAATGGCAGAAACTAACTAGGAAATACTCATTCTTAATCTACAGTCCTATATCCCTGCCACGATATGCATACTTGACCAAATCAGTAACCACCTTCAGGCCTGCAGCAAGCAAACAAATAAACGCATCACATGACGCTATGAACTTCTTAAGGTGAAACCATAGAGATAATTAGCAATAAAATCAAGTACAATGGATGTACAGAGGCTCACTCAGTATTGCTTGCTGCTCTGGTTTTGCTCTGGCCATGTGAAGTGCATAACAAAATGCAAGGCATTGGGACAATATCTGAAACCAAAAAAATGGTAGAGCAGTATGAAGATGAGCCTAGAAATGTAACACAACTCGAGTACAGATTTCGTTTGTTCAAATTTTATTTCACACATCGGCCTCCAGAACGCTAACTATCTACGTACATATATGTTGATCTTCATACGCTAACCGTCCAGGTTAAGAAGATTTGACCTGAACGAAGTTGCTGCTCTGGCGTGTTCACGCATACATAAACGCATAGTTTGTAGCAGCTTGGCGGAGCGGAATGGCTTCATCCTCTCACTTATCCTCTCGGTACAAAATAATTAGCCAATGCTGTAATGCCCGGCGGCGGCGGCAGCACGGCGGCCTGGGCGGAGGCTGGCAGGGGAGCAGCCAAGGGAGAGCCGGCGCGCGCCGGCCGGGGCCCGGGTGCAGGAGAACGGCGAGGTTGGGCTAGCGCGGAGCGGTCAGCAGGTGGTACTGCGCACGCGTTGGACCTGGACGGCTGGGGGCAGGGGGAGCTGGGAGGGGCAGACGGAGACGGCGGCGGACCACGATCCACGGGAGCAGCCAAGCAGAAGGGTCGAGAGCGTTCGGGAAGCGTGGGCCTGATTGGAAATTCACCCCAGGCCCAATACCCAATCCACATATGCTTTCTTTTTTTAGAAAATACTCCCTCCGTTCCTAAATAATTGTATTTCTAGACATTTCAAATGGCTACCACATACGGATGTATGTAGACATATTTTAGAATATAGATTCACTCATTTTGCTTTGTATGTAGTCCCTTGTTGAAATATCTAGAAAGACAAATACTCCCTCCATTCCTAAATAATTGTCTTTCTAGACATTTTAAATGGCTATCACATACGGATGTATGTAGACATATTTTAGAGTGTAGATTCACTCATTTTACTTCGTATGTAGTCACTTGTTGAAATATCTAGAAAGACAAATATTTAGGAACGGAGGGAGTACAAAATGTAGGCATCCCCTCTTTGGCGCTTCGAGCATGATTGGTTTGCTACCAATATTTGGCTGTCAATACTAAGAATTGTCAAATACATCTCCGTCCCATAATATAATACATTTTTGCAACCTAAAGCATTAGCAACTTTATGTGAGATAAGCAAGACAATTTGGTAACCAGCCAATTAGTAGTCAATATTTGGCGTGCCAATTTTTTGGCACCAAACCAATTATGCTCTTCTCATGCGCCCGTTTTAGTTGTTTCTACAAATGGGCGCACACCCCGATTTCTGCTCTAGGCCGGCCCATTTGCGGGTATTTTCTATATAGAAGTTCAAATGGCTACCACATACGGATGTATGTAGACATATTTTAGAATATAGATTCACTCATTTTGCTTTGTATGTAGTCCCTTGTTGAAATATCTAGAAAGACAAATACTCCCTCCATTCCTAAATAATTGTCTTTCTAGACATTTTAAATGGCTATCACATACGGATGTATGTAGACATATTTTAGAGTGTAGATTCACTCATTTTACTTCGTATGTAGTCACTTGTTGAAATATCTAGAAAGACAAATATTTAGGAACGGAGGGAGTACAAAATGTAGGCATCCCCTCTTTGGCGCTTCGAGCATGATTGGTTTGCTACCAATATTTGGCTGTCAATACTAAGAATTGTCAAATACATCTCCGTCCCATAATATAATACATTTTTGCAACCTAAAGCATTAGCAACTTTATGTGAGATAAGCAAGACAATTTGGTAACCAGCCAATTAGTAGTCAATATTTGGCGTGCCAATTTTTTGGCACCAAACCAATTATGCTCTTCTCATGCGCCCGTTTTAGTTGTTTCTACAAATGGGCGCACACCCCGATTTCTGCTCTAGGCCGGCCCATTTGCGGGTATTTTCTATATAGAAGTTCGAAAAAGGTGCAGCGCGGAAGTTCGAATGCAAGACCAGTTTCTTAGGCGCCAATGACAGTGACCACTAGGCTATCGAAAGACTAGTGTTTTCTAACTTCTTTTCTTGGTTTTATTTCTTTCTTTAGTCGCGGGATTCCATGGCTTTGGGAAACTTCAGGAAGCTTCCCAGACCGGTATTTTCCCGGTTCGCTTGTCATTTCTAGGGTGACTTTATTCGAGTTTTTTTCCTTTGTTCTTTTTAAAATTCATATTTCTAAAAAATGTTGATATTTTATAATTTTTGTGTATTTAAAAAAATGATGAACTTTTTACAAATTTGAAGATTTTTTTCCAAATTCGATGAAAATTTTCAAAATCAATGAACTTATTTCAAATTTGATGTCTTTAAATTCAATGATTTTTTTAAAAAAATAGATGAACTTAATATTTTTTTTTCAAATTCGATGATTTTTTTTTGTAAATTCGATAAGCTCTTTTCAAATTTGATGAACTTTTTAAAGTTTTGTGATTTTTTTTGAAAATTTCATGTACATTTTAGAAATTCATGGTTTTTTGCGATTTTATATTGTTTTTTATTTTTTTCACAAAGGTCAACATTTGACCAGTCAACACCGAAGCGACAGGACCAGCCGACGGACGCGCGTGTTTTAGGCCGCGCCCAAGAGTGTGCCTACATGGGTGCCGGGACCTATAGTTCTCACTAGGAACTCCCCAATATCTACATAGGTAACAGCAAAGCAAATTTCCCACACCCCAGGCCCAGCCCCTCCAGGCCTAAAAGGATGAGCCAGAACATATTCCAATCAGCATTACTACTCAGCTGGATTTCTCGGCGTGGCACTGGGAACGAACATGAGTGTTCTTAGTTCGTTTGTGCTACAAGATGTTGGTGGACACAAAAAAGGAGATGAGAAGCTTGGTTAAATGGTGATTCTGAAAAGTCCAAGCAAGAACAAGAGGAGAAAAAACTGGAAGAGCCTTTGAAAGGTAAAGGTACCTCCTAACCTACGAACATTTCAATGGCGTCTTGCAAGATCATCTCTGCCAACTGGGGAAGAAAGAGCAAGGAGGAAGTTAACGCCTATAGTGCTCTGCTCCATTTGCAACGCGGCTAATGACTCGTGGAGACATTCACTCCTAGTAGACTACAATATGGCAAAGGTCGTCCGGATTCTGCGTGATGATGACGTTGTTCTACCGATCTATGGAGACGAAACGCCCGACCCTTAATTGTGACCATTTTCACTATGCAACACCCTGTCCAAGGAGCAAGCCATCGACGTTCTCGTCACCTTGTGGGCGATTTGGTATGCTCGGCACAAACTAACTTACGAACAGGAATATCAAAGCCCTTTGTCTACTCACTTATTTATCACACGATATTTGGAGGAGATCAAGGGGACGGGCCTAGCGAAGAAGGCTACAACAAGTGCAAGAGCAAAGTAGGAAGATGGATCCCTCCACCTGAAGGATTTTGTAAGATCAACGTGGATGCAGCTGTCGTGAAAGCAAGCAACCGCAGGCAATCAGCGATGTTTGCCGGGATGCCCAGAGAGTTTTTCTAGGTGCATCGGTTGTGATATTTGAGGGGATAACACATGTAGAGACCCTGCAGGCGATGGCGTGCCGAGAAGCTCTCGCTCAGTGAGGAGATGCGCATGGGGAAGCTCAAAATCTCATCGGACTGTCTAAGAGTCATCACAGAGCATCAGGCGGACAAAAACTTGGGTGCTCATTGTATGATCTTGGAGGAGATTAAAGCTGAGAGATCTTTATTTTGGCATGTGATTTGTGCCATGAACAGGGTTCGTGTAATAAGGAGGCTCTGGCCAGAATGGCGACAACATTAGATGTTGGTCGTCATGTCTGGTTCTCTACCCCTCCTGTCAACCTTTGTATTCCTTTGATTTTAGCTACATGAAATAAAGAACGTTGTTCATCTATAAACATCGTTTAGGTTTTGAGAAAGTTATGTGGCGCCCCTCAAAAAAAAGTTATGTGGCAAACCACAAAATGTTCGTAACAAATCCGAACTACTCGTTTGTCATTCGATACCGATCATGCGGGGTGCGCTCGCCTTCCCTCTTTTCTGATTTCCTGGCTCCCGTTTACTATTTCCTACATGTTGTCAATTTTTCGTTTCCTATTTTCGCCTCTCCTCTTGCCCAATTTTTTGGGATCCTAATTTAGGCATTTAATTGCAATGGGGCATCCGCAGATTTAAGGAAATGATAAATCTTGAACCTTAGGATTTTAAGGATGGCAGCCTGAACGTTTTTCGTAGCAACTTTAGTTCCGCAGGTTGGCAAACATGATAATTTTCTGACAAAAAAACAAACTGTGACAAAGTTGCCATATTTTAACAACTAAAGTTGCCACCTCGGGTCAACTAAAGTTGCCATGAAAAAACGTTCGGGATGATGTGCTTAAAATCCGAACAATCGGGATTTATCAGGGTTCTATATTTATACGAAACAAAAGTAACAACAGCTTATGTCTCTATTACTTTTGTTTTTGTTTACACAAACCCCCTCACGGTTGTAAAAAATATCTCTATTACTTTTGTTTCTGTTTACACAAACCCCCTGACGGTTGTAAAAAAGATCATACACATTGTAATCCATGGTTCTGGAAAGAAATCATGTTGTGATGCATACCTGCACGTATGTAAGTTGGGATATCGTTTTCTTGACAGTACTACTAGTAGCTAACAAAGACAAGGAGAAATTGTGGGAGATGAATTTACTTCTTCTAAACAACCACAGAACAAACCCCAAACTAAAAACTGAGGCCGAGCTGCAGCCCAAACGCGGTGTGGAAAAGGAAGAGCGTCATGATGCTGCTGCCGAGTAGGCCGTGCGCGCCTCTCAGCCCAGGGTTTCCCTGACAAAACAACATCACAATTCACAGGTTATCTATATGGGTGTGAGCCATTGCTATGCAGGAGTTTTCCATGTTCATAATTTCCAACTCAAGTTACCTCAAACAATGTTGGCAGGAGAGACTGCACGGTCAGGAGTGCAAGGCCAATGGCACCGGTTACCGCGTGAGGGCTGCAAAAGCCATTGCCAATGGGTTACTATGAGTTGCAGCCAGGCTAGTAGCACTGTAGCAGTGTATATGTTCTGATATCTGAATTGTGAGAGATGGGTACCTACCTTTCGAGGATTGGTTTGCCGGAGGTGAGGAGGGCGGTGACCCCGCCGGTGGCACCGAGGGCGAAGAAGAAGAACATGCCGCCGAGGAGCTTGGGGTGGAGGTCCTTGGCCTTGGCCTTCTCCTCCTGTGTGTATGCAGTTATGATGCTTTTGGTGTCAGCTCCAGATTATCAGTGCTGGTAGTATAGATAAATGGTGTACGAGTGCTACTTACAGGGTCGTCAGACAGCTTGATCCTGAATCCCAGGTATGTCCCGTACCCACCCATTGCGAACAGCACCACGGCCTGAAAGAAACAAGAATATTTTCTTCTGATTTGGGGCTGTTTTTCATGGCGAGGAGGAAAGAGCGGAGCAGGGAGTACCATGTTGCCGGGGTGTCCCCAGTGCACGAGCCAGTCGGGGAGGCTGAAGGTCCTGACCAGCTCCACGAAGGGCTCGAACGCCGCGCTGATGGGCTCCGCCCCCGGCAGCAGCGCCGCCAGCAGCACCGGGCACGGCGCCAGCGAGTAGAGCCGCGTCGTCGTCGCCCTCGCCCTCGTCTCGCCGGCCACCACGGAGAGCCCCTCCCGCGGATGAGTTTCAGCAGCCGTGGCCAGGAGGCGCCGCGGGGCGCTCGTGGGCGCACGACGAGGATGCGACGCCGACGGCAAAGACGCCCGCGGGCGGAGGACGAGGAAGCTGCTCGCCATTGTCACCGCCCCCATCACCTTCCTCGTGCTGCTGAAACCTTTGAAGTGTGTGGGGTTTTAGTCAGTGGGTGATGATGGGTCGGATAGAGTTGGGGGCGAGGAGAAAGGGGCGGGCGACGCTGGAGCGTGGAGAGCGCCGGGCCAAGTGACGACGCACCCCACCCCACCCTTGGTACTAGGTGAGGTGACACACAGGACAAGTCACGGGGAACCCATGATTTGCCACGGGAAAGAGAGATCTCGTCCTCGGTCCCTCACTAGTCACTGCTCAATGCCAATGCCCACCCAGCCCCAAGAGAACGGTGCCCATGCCCCCAAGCAGACGCAGGCATCCCCACCCCCACACAAATCATTGGTAGATAGGCCATCCAGGACATGGCAAAACCCAAAATCTCAACACACTTTCAGCGAAAAGACGAGCCATGACAGCAACACATCAGGGAAATGCAGGCTTAAAATCCACGATATCAAACTAACAATCACTCACCCTGAGATGACCCCCGCAGTCGACGCGGCGATTTTCGAGCAAACCCGGACAGCAAGTCAGCAATTTCATCGCCTGGAGTGGCCAAAGCGTATGCCTAATAGTACAAAACCTCTGTATATTTCCAGTTCCCGGCCCCTTACTTCGCCGGCCGGCAGGCAGGCTAATCGGAGGAATCCCGCAAAAATGAGCCCAACTCCTAGACAAGGTTTCCGTGGGCCAATACCAATACTGTTGTAACCCAAAAAGAGAGAGACCAAAAAGAATCATCGGCGAGTATGGCTCGGACATATACGAGCGGAGCGGCGTGCTTAACGCTGGCGCTGTTGTACAGGGAGGAGATGCGGGCGGGCAGGCGGGTGATCAGGGGCTGAGGGCCACGGCCACGCCGAACCTTGACGGCGAGCTCACCACCTTGGGGTCGTACTCGGCCGAGAGCGTCACGTACGACTTGGGCCTCCACTCGTGCCGGCAGAGGAGCCCGGCCTTCCCGCTGTTGCTGAACCTCGTCTTGAGCGTCGTGGACGGGTCGAGCGCGTGGGAGCTCCCGATGGTGAAGTAGTTCTCCTTTGTTTTCAACCTGTGCGTTACCTCGGCCGCCACTGCGCTGGTCGGGCTGAACAGGTGGATGTAGGAAGCTTTCAGTGTCTCGCCTTTGTCAGCCCTGTGTAGCAAAACACAAACCAAGGTTTGTTAGTGAACGTCAAGCGAGGGCTTTGCTAACCAAAATGCATCCGGTCATCAGACTTGCAGAAGATATCCAATATAGGGAGGTCATATCAGATGGAGTTTGTCAAGAGAAAATGTCTGTAATCCTGGAGACAGACATCTCAATGCACTCTACGGGTGTTGCTACCCTAAAAGTTACCAGTATTATCCTATATGATATTTTAATCAGCTACGGGTTCAAACTTCAGCGCAACCTGAAGCTTCCGCTTTAGACAATTAGCTGCACAATTTAACTAGTCAAGTTCTTCCTTGTTACTACTTACTACTCCTAATCTAAAGCTGTACCGAACAACTATGTGGGCAAGTTTTGCAAGCAGAAAGATGTAATTGGCTGCATTCGAGCAATGTGTCACAATGCAGATCTCGTATGCTTGAAACCTTGAACAAAGCAGGAACTTGCAAAGACTTACATTTGTAAGGCGGCAGAAAAATCATCCTTGGTATAGCTGACCCCTGAGTTGTACTTGGTAACAGAAGCTGAAGTGCTGTCAAATCCAACCTCGGCACCGACAGCAAGTTCGTTTGTGCCAATAGTTGTTGCCAGCTCGATCACAGGTGCCGAAGTCAAGCCAATGGTTGAATTCAGTGTGAAGCGATCATGAAGGTATTGCAAATCGAGCTGACAATGAACAGTAATTAGTAGAAAAACAATGGAAATAACACAATATGGAGAAGCAGTGGGGTTGAATGTTGGTTATAAGCCAATTTACAGGCAATAGATAAATATAATGTGACAAAAGATTCAAATCCAGCTTATTTAGACTCGCTGAATGCATTACTCGTTTACTAGAGCACCAACTTCCTATGTTTTCAGTAAAATTGATTATCCCTCCAAAGCAAAATATACCCACCTTCCCTGACTTTTGATCAGGAACCTTGAAGCCGAAAGAAGTCTTCAAACCAGGGACTACTTCATCAAAAGTGACCGCGGTTGACACCTGCAGGAGCAAAGACTCTAGTAAGATACATAGATAGACGATGTTTAACTCTGACATGCCATAAGTTAGGAAGGTCGGAAAAATAAGAATATTCAGTCTTCAGAAATGAAACACTGAGCTAAGAACACAGCTGCATAGATATGATAGTCTATCTAAATCTCACATTCAGAAATCAACAAGTTGGCTATGTCAGTACATTCTTTATAGCCTCAAAAGTCAAAACGGAAGGCCGTCCAGCATTACATATAACATTCATCAATTTCAGCTGAACAAAAGCCAAATTAAAACATATGTCCTACTTATTTTGGCACTGCATGTTACTTCCTATTTCGTCTTCTAATATACGTACATTTATGAGGCTTTAATGAGGCCAAACTAGCAGCCCCTATTTGAGAAAAATATAAGCAATAATACACTGTAGTCTTTGTACAAAATACATGCATGTAAACAAGAATAGAGAACCGAACTTTACAAGGATCTTACTTTGGAATCGCAATCGATTGTGACATCAACAGTATTTCTACCACTTTTATGTTGTACCCGTATGTCACCAATGAAGAGTTCATCGAACTTCACACCAGAGGCTGTGATACCCTGCAATATAATACAATAATAAAGGCAATGTGTTTTTAGCTAACAAGCAAGCAAGTAGTTAGGACATTATCTTCACACACACAAAAAAACTGCAATGGGCGGCTAAATGACGAGTGCTTACCAAACCAGATTCGCTAGTTGTTGACCATGAAAACTTTTGGTCAAAATTGTAGTCCTTGTACAAGAGATCTATAGAGAAATAAACAGATGAGATAAGTTAATGCAAGACACTCGTAGATTCAGATGACAAAAAAGTACAACCAGCAAAGATTCAGATGACAATAAAGTACAACCAGACGAAGGCTTAAAAAAGCGCTGAAAACTAAAACAAACCAAGCACAAAATTAACCTGTATTTACCAGACAACATCAGATAAAGGTGGGGAACGGTTATTACTTAAACTAGTTATATATAAAACAACGAGATACTACAACAAGATGAGCAATCAGCGGTCCAGAAACCACTCCGCAGAACAGTCAGGTCATATACAGGGTTCCCTCGGAGTAGAGCCGTTATTTCTTTATAAACACGGTCCATATGTGCCGATCATAGGAATGCAACAACGGTTTCCAGTTGGCAGGTATATATGGGACTACACATCGAATTAATGCAGTAACTGAAAAAGGAAGCTGAGACGAGAGTATCTATCTATTTGTCCGTTCAAAAACTATCATACAGCTCCACTAATAATGAGCAAAGCGATTATTAAGTGCAGTGGATTCAAAGCAAGCCCTATGTAACCTGTTGGAACATATGCTTCTGTCGGTCTCAAGTTAGCTCTATCTAAAAGATACCAAGAAACACACTGCATTCTCAGGACCAGCCACAGCAAAATTGAATCACCAAGGCACACAACAGGTGCATAAATTAGCATGATGTTTGACAATCGAGTACCAGGGAAGAGGAAGATGCCCGCCTACCTTTTGCTTTCTTCCCAAAGCTAGGGAACGGAACCGGGCCTTTGCTCATCCTTCCCAGCTAGAAGCACCTCAGGTCCTGCCAATTTAAAGGAAATAACTCGACCATATCAGCAGCATGATCAATCGACGCCCCGGCAGGGCAGCGGAGTCGGCGGCGGCGGATCCAGGCGGCGCGCCGGCCGCCCAGGAATCGTGGAGATCAGTGGGGTTTGGAGAATCGGCGGGTGCAAATACCTCGAACCCCAATGGGGGGAAAGACCGCGGACGGGGCGGAGACGAACGGCGACGGCGACGGCGGCGGCGACCGTGGGAGGGGGCGGGGACGAGGCGTCGGTGGCGGCTGTAGGGCAGGCGCGTGGTGGCTGGCAGAGAGAGATTTTAGATCCGCGCCGGGTCGGGTTGGGTTGGGTAGGTCACGGGCTCGGGACGGGTAAAAGGAAACAACGGCGAGGAGTCCGTAGCCACGAGGAGGAGATGGATATTTGGACGTGCACCC